GGCTTAGACTCAGGCCTGACTCACACTCAGCCAGTTACTGTCCTGCTGCTGTGTGCAATGAGTCTGCTTCCTTTCTCCAGCCCTGGGCTAACTCAACCAGGGCCTTCCTGATCAGCAGGACCCTTAAGCTATTTGGTGCACAAGTGCAGATGTAGCCAACCAGAGGGAGAAGATAGACAGATACTGGGAATTCCCTCCCGCGAGGGACTAGGCTCACATCTGAGGATTACCTGGAGAAAGATAATGGTCTATGACTATGTTCTCCAGTCGCCAAAATAATAAAAACAGTTGGGGCTGGAGAGATGGCTCGGCCATTAAGAACTCTAGCTGTTCTTCCAGAGGACCCTGGTTCAATTCCCATCACCCACAGGGCAGCTCACAACTGTCTGTAACTCCAAGATCTGGCACCCTCACATATGCAGGCAATTACCCATGCACACAAAATAAAAAGAAATCATTTAAAAATAACAACAACAATAATGAAACAGTTACAATCTCCCCTCTATTGTGTGGGGTGTGTTTCAAGACCCCCATCTGGAACCTCTGAATGGCACTAAGCCTTGCACCCGTCACACTTCATTCTGACCACAGACTCCAGCAACCTCGCCTGCTAACTCCTCCTTTCTGTCCTCGTCAAGTCAAGAGCTTTCACCTCACTTAGGAGAACCACTTGACCGTTTCTCCTGGGCAAGTCTGAATTACAGGCATCACTTCTCAAACTTTGGAGCCATTATTAAGCACCTTGGGCGCACGTACCTTATAGTCTGAGACCACCCATCTGCAGAGCTAACAGCTAATGGGCAGCCTATAGTGTGGCTATGCTGGATAAAGATGATTAGTATCCCAGAAGAGATGGAAGGCCGTGGTGTGTTTCATTATACCACACAATTTAAAACATACGCATTGTTTACTTCTGGAAATTTCCACTTAATATTTTCAAACTATAGTTAACTATGGTCAGCTGAATTCATTGTCAGTTAAACCGTGATAGGGAGGGTCCTTTCGATATATCATCCCATTCTTCAGAGCAGTTAACCCTTCCTCTTCTGGACCATCCTTTGCAGGTGAGCCAGCTGAGGCACAGAGCCTATACGCAAAGCATACATCGAGTACTTGGTTTTCAGATGTTGGGCACATAACGCCAAGTTGCTAAAGAACATGCGGCCAAATAGCTTCCTCAATTCACTGTGGCCACAGAAGTAACCGTAGTCCTGCTTCCTTGAGGTGTCAGCCTATATTCATTCCCCTGTGCAGTCAGTCAGTACCAAAGCTGTGCACACCTACTATGTGCTGGGCACTGTGCCAGTGCATGAGATGCACTGGGCCTTAGGTACCTGGTTCCTGTCCTGCTTGGCAGACACCTGGCCAGGGTAGAGAAGCTGTTTGCCCTCTTCAAGAAGCCGCGTCCCATTCTAACACCGTTCTGCAAGGCCCTGGTTGTCTTCTAACTGTGTCAGAAATATGGTAGTAGTGTATCTAGGTGATTTTTCTTTTCATTCGAGGACAAAAGCATTTTCTTTGTTAGAGGAAACGCCGGTTCTGAAGAGATGAGATCATTTATAGATGGCACGAATTTCCTGTGCCTTCCAAAGTGGGTACCCCCTAAGGTTTGGCCCCTGGCATTGCATGACACACACCAGTGAAGGTTGAAAGGGGGTTGGCTGTGCGCGGGGGTGCGTCAGAGCCTCTCCCAGATCCAGCCACATCACGCTGCGTCAGCTGCCCACGCGTTGCTTAGGCTGAGGACGTATTTCTCTGACCTCCTTTACCGGATTGTGCGTGCGGTGTGTGTAGATTTGATTACTGCGTGCTGGATGGCATTGATTCCTGCCGCGGCAGGAAGCTGCGTGCTGTGCGCAGGCGCCCTCTGCCGCTGAACTCGGAGGGCTTAGCTGCCCCCCAGCTCCATCTGTTGACTACTTCGGGCAACTGTCTCTGGCTCTCTGAGCGCCCTTGGTCCGGAGGCTCTGACTCTTGTAGCTTTGTCACTCCAACATTAATTCAGGGATAAATTACGCATGACTAATCCTTGCATTGCAGACAATGTAATGTAGACTTTGTCTTTAATATTCAGAAAGGAAAATATGGATGCCTTTATTTCTTATTCATGCCAAAGAGGCGGGCTATGTGCCTCAGGCTCCAGATAGGAAAATGAATACTGCTTGTCACCTCTTCTTCTGGGGACAATGAAACCTCTTTAGGAGTCTGTTTTTGTCCTTCCTTGCTTCATCCACCTTCATGGTGTCCCCCAAACTCATTCATCTCCCAGCCTTTGGCATATTCCCCCACAGCACTAAAATGACTGCTTTGTTGCTTAGTGTGTGTGTGTGTGTGTGTGTGTGTGTGTGTGTGTGTGTGCGTGTGTGTGCGCGCGTTTCTTTCTGTAGTTCTCCCAGAATATTATCCTGGTTTTTGCGGTCAGATTTCAAGCCAAGCAAACGTTTTGATGCACAAGTGGACAGGTGTCTAGCAGCCTTAACCCCCGCTATTCTACAGTAAACAGGTACCAAGAACGGAGATGGAATTTTTCTTAATTTGCTTTTAGGTCAAACTTAACCTTGGCGGTTTGGATGGACAGACAGAAGACGGGTTACACAACAAGAAAGTCTTGGCCTGTTTCCACCCCATGGCATTTCAGAAACGCTCTTCCCTTCCATCCTGGAAGTCACCCAGCCTGCAGCACCTTAGCACTCGTTCCTTCCTGGTTACCAGTGAGCTGTGGCCTCAGTTAGAGCAACCAGACCGCCGCTCGCGCCTTTTCCAAAAATGGATTCGGACCACCCAAGTCTCACGGTATTTATAGAATTTTAATAGCACCTCTCAGCAGTACTCAGGGACCGTCTCCTGGGCAGACATTATAGATATGAATAACTCTTAAAAAAATATGTAGGTGAGTGAACGGTGGCCATGGAGAAGCTTCAGGTTGGATTTCTTGAGACATCTGACTGCACTGAGCCCTTGTACTGCCTCACCCTAAGATCTGCCTCTCCCTGTCCGTCAGATTGGATCTACTCATTGCTTAGAAACACAGCTGCAGACTCTGACATGGGACGGCAGGAATACCTTACAAGAGGTGGCCTGGCCCAGGGAAAGGGCACAGTCTTTGAAGTTGGTTGTGTATGGCTTTTAATTCCAAGGCCCTTTCTGGAATGACGCCCACGGTGAGGGAGTCATTGACTTGCTTGGTCCCTCTTTTGCTCAGCTGCAGTATAGGAAAATGAGGAGCGACAGCTGGATCTCGCTGGGAAAATCAAGTGACCGCAGGAACACCAAGGGCCTGGCACACGCACCCATCCTTTTCGTGTGTATTTCTTGTTGCCTGTGTTAACATGGTTAACGTCACCGTATTACCAGGTTCATAACAGGTAACACCAATACATGCCATGCAGCTGATAAGGAGGAATGATTCAGGAAAGGTTTCCCTAACTGCGTTTGTGCGGTACCCATTGGTAGAAACGCTCCCCGATAGATGTAAGACGGAATGGGAAGGAGCCATTAATTAACCGCCATTTTGTGGCATAATGCACGTATCGGACCTTGTTTTGTGTTATAGCTATATGATACCTTCTCCTTAAACTATCTGTAATTTATTGAGCACTTACTATGGATTCCACTAGACACTATTCGTACAAAACACTACGGAGGAGAGAGACATGCACTACAAACCAATCTCAGAAATCAAGTGACTTACCAGCCTCGCAGGGCTGGTTACTGTGAGACCCCTGGTGATGTTAGCGGATGTGTGTGTTGTATGTGAACACCTTTCCAAGGGCTGCTCTTGTGTCTTCCACTGGTTTGTGAGTTAACAAGTGCCCTTTCCAGGCTCCTAATGAACGTTTCTTGGATGCACGAATCTTCCCTGTCACTGGGCTGCTGGTCAGTCACAGTGTGTCTTTGTGTATGGCCAGCAAAGTTGGTGGAAGAAATGCCCACCTGAAGCAAAGCCCACTTTGTTGAAACTGCCCTTGGAAGACGTCTGGACATCCATTCTGAATTCCGCAGGCCTCGTGCGGGTTCTTCTCGCTTACTGGTCTAGTCTGGGTCCTCTCTGTCTCCTCAACCTCCTGGTTTTCACTCACTGCACTGCGTCTGGCTCTGGAAGAAGACATTTCCAGTCTTCTAGGGCTCCAGGTCCAGCTGCATCCGTTCCTTCCTAATGAGAGCCCGTCGGCTCTTCGAGTCTTAGCTCTACGAGAAATTCCTAAAAGTATTCTCAGACCATTTTGGCTCTCTACCCCTGTGCAGCAAACCTCAGAACCTGACAGCTGAAATCAGCCACCGTTGACTTACTCGTTCGTGATCTGCAACGGGGTTGGGCTCATTTCTACCCCACCCAACACTGGACCAGCGTGGCCAGCTTTGGTCTTCACTCAGATCCGTCTGTTTACTGCCTTATCTTCTGGAGTCATTTTCTTAACGGGTCTCCCTTTTCTCAGATGACTCTAGCTTGTGTCAAGGTGACATAAAAAGAGCCACCGCAATGTCCTTTCTTTTACAAGTCCATTAATCAAAGAAAATCACAGGGTTAGCCCAGATGCCAAAGAAGGGGGAATGACCTCATCTTTTGGGGCGACGAGTGCTTAAGTCGTCAGTCGAGAACGTGCATGGTCGTTTTGCGGCTTTCTCTCCAGGAGCTCCTGCTCCATTCCTTGTACAGCACACCGCCCTCTTCTCTATAACACGAGGAGCAGAGATGGGCGCTTACTCCACGTCTGTCATGCCCTAGCCACCTTCCACAGCAGCCTCTACAAGAACCCCAGGGTCACCACTAACTACGCATATGGAGAGAATTCACAATTAAAGGAACAGGAGATGACCATACTGTATAGTCCAGACACACAGCATGCTGGACAAACTGTAGTGGCGTAAATTAATGCAGACAGATTGTAAAGAATATATACACAGCTTTAATGGGGGAAATTAGACTCACTGAACCACGGTCCCCGCGGAGGACAGGAAGCAGGAAGGGGCGCGCGGGAGCCCGCACGCCCGACTTATAAGTAAACCTTTGCTCGAGGCAAGCCCGCCCCCTAAGGGGGGCTGGCTTAACCCTACAACAAACAAGTTAGTACCCCTATACATTTTAATTCTAAATGATGTGTACATAGCCAGAGTGTCTATCCACGTAAGTGCAGGCTCTTGAGAAGGCCAAAGACATGTTTCCTCCTGGCACTGGAGTTGCGGGTGGCTGTGAGATGCCCGATGGGACTCAGACTCTGGCCCTGTGTGGAACAGTGTGTGTTCTTTACTGCTGAGCCATTGCTCCAGATCTTTCCCTTAAAAAATTTAGAATTTATTTTGAAAGAAGGTCTCATGTATACCATGCTGTCCTCAATCCTGCAACACATACAAGGTCTAAGGAAGACCTCAAACTTCTGATCCTCTTGCCTTCTACTAACTATGGTGAGATTCTCTGCCCACATCAGCATGCCTGCTTTATGTAGTGCTGCCAATCAAGCCCCGGACATCTTACATGCTAGGTAAGTGCTCTACCAGCTGAAGCACATCGCCACCCTGTATGTAGTTTTCTTTTCTTGGTGAGCATAAACTGGACACTGCAGTCATACGACTCTTCCCTGTCCTCTGAAAATATTGACAAACACCTCACGGAGACTGAAATTTAATAATCTCTGAGGGCATAGAAAAGCTTAAGTCTTTACAAGTGCTTGGAAAATTCTGACTCCTCAGGAAAAAGCAGAGATGGTGTTGCCAGCAATTTGTCTTAAAGTTGTCGCAACATGCCTTGTTTTTTGGTGCCTGGAAAGTCTTTGCTGCAATGTTAGAATAAATTGTCTTGCTGGTGTTTGTCTGTGAGTAGATGTTTTAGGAAAATGTTGGAAAATCCCTTTCCTGTCCCCATTTGTCTTTTCTTTCTTTCTTTTCCCCTTTGTATTAACAAAAACCAGAAAGGAATTTTTGAGAACTTCAAAACCAAATGTGGCCATGCAGCACTCATGGGAGTTTGTTTTAGAAGCTCATATTTTAAATATTAAACTAACTACAGACTTACAAGAATGACAGAAAACTTTTAGAACCAGAAAAAAAAAAGAGAGTGAGCGAGAAGGAGAAATCAATCAATGTGTGTTCCTTTTGATGTTGTTTTCCAAGGGGACAGAACAGGATGTGAGGCCCAGGGAAACTGGGTCCGTTTCAGGCAGAGCGGAGCTTGAAAAATCTGCTTCTGACCTATGAGTCATCTGATGCATTAACGCCAAATGTGCAGCCGGCCCTGGCTGCTGCTGTCTCTTCAATCTTTGTCCTGCTTGAGCAGCTGACCTGGGCCAGGGAGGATGACAAGCAAAGGCTGGGTTGCCACCATATCTGCACTGCGTTTCCCTCTGTATTAACCACGTGTAGGTGCCAGGAGTGCTCTCGCGAACCCCCAAAACCATGCCTGTGGGCATTTTCAAAACACAGGTTCGTAAGGATGAAATCCGAGTGGCTTGAACTCATCCCCCCAAATACACATATGTAAACACACACATCTACTTGTTTGCACATGTGTATACATATGTGAAGGATGTGTAGGACTCCCCTTTCCAGAAGGTTGAAAAACTGGTGTTGAGTTGGAAGAATGGAAGTAAGCAGAGCCTCATGACACAAACACGCAGTACTGTCTCTACACAGAGGGTGTTTCCCGTGTGGATTTCCAGGCCCGAGGCCAGCATATATTTCTTTATAAATACCTATGAACAATGTCTCTGGGCAACTCTCATGAACCCAAATCAACAAGTTCTGGAAGCAGAATAATGTCTCTAGTTTTAGTCCTTGCTACTCAGGAGAGTCCTCCTGTTCTAAAACCACCCGCGTTCCCACCATACACCTTCCCAGGAAAAGCAATAGCAACTTTTTCCACCACTAAAGAAGGAATAAATTCTTGTGCTCAATGTATTAAGTATCAGAGATAAAGAACTTCATAAAATTCCATCAAAAAGCACCATAAATTTGATAATCCTTCCATTTTAAAACTCATTTTTTAGAGGTGTTTTCATTAGCTCCTAGCACATCTGTCTCGGGATAGGTTGCTTAGCAACCTGCCACAAGTCAGCCTCATTCCTTCCTGCTCAGTTCTCTACCTCGGTTCCTAAAGTTTTTTTTCCTGTTTGCTGCTCTTGCAGCAGCAGGTTTTGAACACCTTGACTTGCAAGGATGGCTTGGAAATGCTTTGGGGAGAGATTGAGTAGTCCTTGAAGGCCAGTGCCATCTGAAGCGGGGCTGTGACAAGATCCTGGCTGGATGCTGTGAAGGGACTGGGAGAGAAGCTCATGAATCACACAGAAACCAGAGGACAGTGCACACTCACGACAAGCAGCGTCGGGCTGTGTGGGCTCGGGAACACTCGGGCCAGTATGCATCAGGCCCAGGGTGGGGCCCCTGAAGAAGCAGTAGTCAGGAGAAACCCTGTAAGTGCTAGGTGGGTGGGCACAGGCTGAAGGGTCCAGTGCTCCCAAAAGTCTGCTACTCCTCCAGGATCTTCCACGAGGCCTGTCCCCAGACACAGGGGCTTCTTCAATGACCAAGTCACTTCCTTTGAATCAAAAAGCTTGTCAGGAAGTTGGTGCATTGGGATGGCTCCAGATGATGTCCCCAGATGTCTACGGTGCTGCCATTCTCCCGCAGGGCTGCTTCACGACTCAGACTGAGCCACATGGAGCTCCACTTCCCACAGGCCACATGAGCAGTGGTCCTTGGCTGCAGAAGCAGAGTAATCCTTGGGAATTCTATACGCATGCGTCTGCCCAATGAATGCAACTTGTCTTCACCTGGGGAGGATGAAACCACACCTTAGAGGTAAAGCAAGATGAAACTAAGACCCGATGGTAAGCCAGGCAGCTCTCAGGCCAGCCTTCTCCCTGACTGGGTTATATGAACTATTCAATACTCCATTTTTGAATAATCAAGTTCCAGCTGGGCCTCTACAACTTGCAATTTAGGGAGCCCTGTGAAGTACTGTATTGCTAGGGAGCCCTTGTGGCATTGCTGTGTTGCTAACTCAAGCTTTCGGACAAGAGAATGGGAGCTTAGAGTTTAGTTGGATCCCTCATCAACACTCACGCATGCACACACACGCGCGCGCGCACGCGCGCGCGCGCGCGCACACACACACACAGATGCAAGGAAGGCTTTCAACCTCCATTTGTTTGGACTTTGAGGTTAGTTGGCTTTTTATTTTATTTATAGAGTTTCGCTCTCCAACTAGTCCTATAACCGTCCTGGCAAGAATGAAAATAGTTGAGAAACACGTGTACCCTCCTATTGGTTACCAGTCTACTGAGACAATATTTCTAAAGAAATTGGAATTTTGTCAGGAATCCCGTGGTGGCAGAAGAAAAAGGCGTTAGCCTGGTGCTAGCCAGAGAGGAAACTTGTCTCCCATGAAGGATTTCCCACAGTACTGACAACTTGTCAGAGGAGCCTGAGAGTGTTAGTGAACAAGACCATGCCTTGACCAGCCTCTGTAGCTATGGACTCTGCTTGGTCTTGGTTTAAACCTAAGCCTCATGCTAACAGCCTAATGAGAGACTTGGGGTGGGTGAGTCATTGGGTCCTTTGTTCTTCTCAATGTGACCTCATTGAATAAATCTCCTTTTTCTTCTTATCACTATTATGTGTTTGTTTAATTGGATTATAGAAGACAATGACAAAGCCTGGCTTACGAAGGCTGCCAGGGTCGAGCTCTGATGCCCAGTAACTCTGGTAGAGTTCCATGATTGCCGCTTTCAAGAGGAGGCAGGCAGGCAAGCTTGATTCTCCGCACCTTACCCACAGCCCTCAGTGAAGCCATCTGTGACATTGTCCAATGCCCAGTGCCATGAAAAGCAGACCTGCTCATTTTACAAATGCTCTCTGGCTTCTCCAGATGGTGGCTCTTCTGCTGGCTCCAGTTTCCCCAGCGTTGGAAGTCACAGTCCAGTCATTTCTCAACCTGTCTCGTAAGGAGTAAACAGACTGTGTCTGGGAACACAGACCCTTATTATGAGGGTGGGAATGTGGACTCACAGTGTGCTGAGGGCTCCCACGCTGTACGGAGCAGACCACGGCTTCATTAAGATGGGGGTCACAGCGGTTACAACCCTGAGAGATCACAGTAGCTGCTCTCATGTGTGAGCAGATGTTTGACACATCTGGACATTTGGGGGGCTGGGAATCGAAGAGGAGAAGTAATCACACTCTGTCCTTTGGCCTGCTCACCTCTTTCCTTGCACACTCTAAATCAGTGGCCCCTACTCTGCCCCTCCCAGCAGGTCACTGCTACAGCGTACGAGGGACTAAGGCAACTTCCCAACAGTACACGGAGGGACAGCTGATGCTTCTGTTTGAACCCAGATAGTATGGCGGGGCGGAGGTGGGGGGGGGGCTGTGCTTGTCGGTATTTTACTCTGCAGTCTGAGTAAAGACATTGCTTTAATGCTGGCCCATCTACAGCCACAGGTGACAGTCAGGCCTGTTGGACTCGTGTGTGTGTGTGTGTGTGTGTGTGTGTGTGTGTGTGGTGTGTTTCTGTTATTGTTCTTTTATATCAGTCTTACATCACTTGACAAAATGCTTTCGAAGAGGAATTAAATGAGAACTCTCGGGCACGAATTGAAACACTTGTGATTTTAATAGCCTTTCCTCCCTATTGCCTCATCTTGCTAATACCAACCATGTGCCATATTTGAACACAACCTTTTCTATGCATGGTGCTCATGGGGCTTGTTCAAAGGGCATCAAAGTCCAGATGTGCAAATTCACACAGCATCGGGTCCTTCTAGAGTGGGTGTCACAGTCTGCAGGGGACCCCCAGGTATCAGAAGCTTCTGTTGCTCTTTCTGTGTATTCTTCCCTTGGCTTCTCTTCTTATCCATCGAGGCGGTATTTACTTTAGAACCAGACCTCTACCACGCTCATACGTACCTGTCAGGGGCATTCCTCAGCCAACAGTATAGTATAGATTGTCTTATAAATGCATCAAGAGTTCAAGGGGGCTAGAGATGAGAAGCAGATTCTGCTGTTAAAACCAACAAACCACTAGAACGAGTTCCAGAGGCATCCAGGGAAAAAAGTAATTCTCTGCATTGAAAAAAAAAACCACCCTCATGGTCCCACAGCGCACATGGTAAACGCAGACTCGCGGATGCTCAGGGTTTGAGAATGATGACAGTCGAGTGCTCAGACCTAGATATTTACCCTGCTACCTCTAAGGCTCAGGGAACATAAGGACAGCTGTAGAGGGAGCCTAAGCCTGAAGACAGGGAAAGGGCTGAGAAATGCTATCTCCTGCACATGGTCCAGCCACTGCAACCATGAACTTACAGCAGCTTCGGGTATCCTCACTGGGCCTGAGCCAGACTGGCCCTGTCAATAATCCGTCAATGACGGGGAAGGGGTCATGAGGCCCTCAGCCTCTGCTGCACTGTGGCTGAAGACAGGGTCACTATCCTCAGTGGACACTCACTGGTGAGCCCAGTAATCCCTATAGGTAGATCCAAACCCATGACCACAACACAAAGCAGAGACACGGAAGTGGAAAAGAGAATTTGTTGAAATAGGAGCGGCGGGGCTGCGTCCCCAACACCCCGGCCGCTTGGCTAGCTCATGCCCGAAATAACAACACACAAACTGTATTCATTTAAGAACTGCTTGGCCCATGAACTCTATCCCTTACAGGCTAATTCTCGCACCTGGACTAGCCCATTTCTAATGATGTGTGTAAGCACCCCAAGGTGCGCTTACCGGGAAGAGTCTAGCCTCCGTCCATCCTGGTGTCTCTGCTCCAGAGAGCAGAGCTGTTGGGTCTCTCCGGGAGCAGAGCAGAGTCTGACCTCACTTCCTCTTCCGCCCAGCATCCTATTCTGTTTACTCCTCCCACCAATGCTTTAACCTATCAGGCCAAGCAGTTTCTTTATTGCTCAGCCAATGAAATCAACAGATTGATATGACACTCCCACATCAAGAATTTGGGGGGGGGATTGACAGGGGTGGGGCACAGATAAAAGAGGTGAGCGTGAAAGCAAATAGAATCCATTAGCTACATCTATGAAGGTGCAGAAAAAATTATTTAGAAATTAACGTTTTCATATTATTAAGCACAAAGCAGAGACATTTGAGGTAATTAATATATATGCCTACATTTCATGCAATTTGCATAGACTAAGTAGTGCACCATAAATTTTATATATTTATCAAATGGTGTAAAGCTTTGGTACATGTTTTGCAGGTTTGAAATACTGAGTTTAATCCTCACATCTTTCAAAGTGCAGCAAATCAGGTAATAGCCAATCCTACAATTTTAATACTAGATTATACATGGCTGAAGAGAAAATTGGCAAAATGTAATGAGAGACAATGAACTATTAGAATTTAACACAGAAAATCCAAAGGAAATTAAGGACCCCTATGGATCCAAGGAGAAGATCTAACAGAGCTCTTGAATATCGAGAGAAAGGGAAACAGGAGCAGAAGAAACGTCTGAAGAGACTGCGGGATGATGGCACCATGCAGATCGCCACTGTTCAGTCTTTTCCTCAGTCAGCCGGCCAGGGCACCCAGAGGTCCTCTAGGGGGCAATGTTGCCTAGTCAGGTACAACCAGAGCCGGTCAGTGCCCAAAAATGCCTGAATGCTCTCAGCCAGCATGAGAGGAAAGGATCCCCGATGTGACAGCGAGAGAGGAAGAGAGAGAAACCTGGAACGACTCTTAGACAGAGAAGCAGGTTCTGCGTGTCTGGAGCTCAGAAGCGTGAGCAGATGATCACAAGGTGGCAAAAAAGCAGGCGGCACTAGAGAGCAAGAACCTTCGAGCCAAGCGGACGTGAAAGCCTCACTCTCGGAGCTCTGTCGGCTATTACAGCATTTCACAGTGTGGTGATACAGCCAGACTTGGCTGTCGGGAACTGCAGGGGCAGGGCTGGAGATCTAACTGCAGAGGGGAGTGTGTGTAGGGTCTGCCAAAGAAACCCACCCTGGCCCTGAAACCAGAGCCAGTGAAAGAAACCAACCAATCCCTGAGTAGGAAAATGAATCAATCCCTGAGCAGAAAACCGACCAATCCCTGAGTGGAAATCTAGCCAGTCTGAGCTAGATCTGACCAATTCCCACTCCGGACATCTTCTCTCTGGAAAACCGCCTCCCCTAAGCCCTATAAAAGCCCGGCATCTATTCTGTTTGCTGCTGCCTTCTCCAGCCTGGCAGAGGCCGCCACTCTCCTGTACTCTTCCCTCCCAATAAATCTCCTGAATGTGGTTTGGTGAGACCTTCTTTCACCAGAATGGAGCTGAGGAAAGAAGTAACAACTTTTTGCCAGAGCAGAGCCTAGCAGAACAGAGCAGGGCTGTAACTCTTTTGCTGGGTAAATCTTCCCCTAGCTTAGCAGAGTTGTTACTCTACACTCCCCAGGACCAGGGCAGTAACAGCTTTGCTGGGAAAACCCTCCCCTGCCTGGGCAGAGCCCTTACACTGGGAAACGTTTCCCTAGAGCAAGGCTGTAAGCTGCTGCACTTACTGGGCCTGTGGTCCTCCTTGGCTCCCGATCGACAGAATACTTTCCCGCACGAGCTCAGTACTCCTTGGTTCCTGGATGCCAAGATCCCTTTCCATCCGAGCTGAACGCTTACACTGTGATGGCTGGCCATGCTGTGCGCTGTTGTAAGCCACCCAGGTGGAAGCTGAAGACAACCTGTGCTAATTAGACAAGGTTCAGACCAAAGGCAATGCCTGATCCTGGCATTCTCACAGGTGTTCTCAAACTTGACCGTTGGCATGGTTCATCAGTCCAAATTGGAAAGCAATTAGGAGTAGACAACAAGAAGTTAAAGCTGGACCTTGGACTTCCGTCTGTATGACTTATCTCATATGAGTAATTAAGAATGAACAATTGGTGGTTCCTTTTCCAGAGGACCATGCTGTGATCCCCAGCACTCGGACAGCTGCTTGCATTCATCTCTAACTCCAGCTTCTGGGGATCCCTCTCCTGGCCTCTACAGGCACCAGGCAGGCATGCGGTACACAGACAAACATGCAGGTAAAACACGTATATGATAAATAAATAAAATGCTTAAAACAGGACTACAGAATGTACAAATTTTCTCAACAATGAGGAAAATACTGAAAACAGTAAACTACCTAACACTGAGGAACTGAATATATGCACAATGTCCACAGTTACTAAAAAGAGCATCACATATCTTGATTGTTCCATTATGCTTTTAGTTTTAAGAATTTCTTTTAAATTTATTTTCATGTGTTTATATTTTAAACTAATCTATAACCAACATAGATAACTCTGGGAATGAGTTCACCAAATTAAAATTATTGAAGTCACATGCGCTCACCACTATGAAGTACAGTTTAAAGTAATATGGGCTGTTTAACTGTTCCAACCTGGAGAGACACGCGTCAAGTTAATTAGGACTGATTTGAATAGTCACGTTGCAGACTGATCATGCGGACTTTATCTTGGGCCTTTGCCTCACTCACACAGGATCCCTCACGATCACGACAAATGGTTTAAGCAGTTCAGAAAGGAAAACTACCAGACTTTAGCCTGCAGCCAAAGAACAGTCTAGTCTCTGCCTGTGCGTCTGGCTTTGCCACAGGTGCGCCTCTTGCACTGGTGAGCCCTGTTGCCCTCCATGCCCCCTCACCCCCACACATGGCAATTCCTTTCGAGGTGAGTGAGACTGAGCCTTCCACAAGAGGCTCAGTTCCCATTGCTCTGCCCGCACTGCCCAGCTGACACTCACTGCTGCTTCATCTCCCACCCCTTGGAGATGTTGTGGAAAGGAGGGCTCCATGATCCTATCTTCCTGAAACCAGCTTTGCCCCAGGCCTGCCAACCACAGCCACTCCGAGGCTGAGTGTGGCTCTGCTGCCTCCGTGCGACATTTGGTGCCTTGGTCCATGAGAGCGGTGGGAGCAGAAGCAGGGAACAGGGTTGGGACGGCTGTGGGTACAAAGGGTCCTAGCACAAGTCTTAGTTATCGTATTCCAGCAAGGGAGCCTTCTAGCCGGAATCTGTGCCAAGGGTCAAGCTAAAGATCAATCAGGCGTCTGGATTAGACACAGCTTTCAGATAAGGTCAGTCCTCGGGCCCTGAGACATTCTCCAGACAGGGCAGATAGAGAGTAGGGAGTTTCCCTGGGGGGGGGGGGGGGGGTCTTCATGCTGCTGAGCTTTGGGGAAAAGCTGCCAGCCTATGACAGACTGCAGCCTGCAGTGCCCCCCAACAGCTGAGGCTCTGTCCTTCACACACACACACACACACACACACACACACGCCCCCAGCAAAGCCTCCTCATGAAAATCGCGCATCACACTGGTTTCCCCTATAGGCTTGAGCTGTCTGCCATGAAGCATCAGACTTCAGAAGCACACAAAAGCCTGCCCACCCAAAGGGACAAGGGTGGACAGTGTGTTCATTCTTTCCCAGTAAGTTCCAGGTCCTCAATGATAGATCAGAGATTTGCTTAAAAAATGGAGGGTTTGGCATAAGAAAAATACAAAGATTATCTAAAAGAATCCTGGGCAATTAGGGGAAAAAATACTCTCTTACGTAACTCTGGAGCAAAACGGGCTAAGTGGTAGACAGTTATTATTTTTATATTAAATATTATATAATATTTAAAATACTCATTTTAAATCTGAGACTATAGTCATATAAATAAATGGGGCTAAACACTTTAATTTTTAAACATTAAAAAAAGCTCAAATAAATTAAGTATTCAGTGTAAATAGAACTCTAACATGACGACTTCAGGAAAGCCCAGTTAAGGAGTGAAAAGGCAAAAGCCGCCACATGGTTTGGTGTTTTGTCTCAGGAATGGATCAGTGGCCAAATAAGGATATGGGGACAGAAAAGGATAAAGGGCAAAACCTCTTGGTGGCATGTTGGCCACGCTGAGGGCTGTGAGAGTCCTTCAGAAGGGACACAGAGACATAGAAGATTACGGTTCACAAACAGACCTGCGCATGAATAGACCGAGACAGAGAAAATGACTGGACATCTTGCAGAGACAAGTACTGCTGTTCATCAGACCCTATCACTAACAGACGAAAGGACCGGCTTCTAAGTCCACAGAGAATCAAGGCTAACACAGCGCCCAGATGAACAGATGACCACACGAGCTAAAGATTTTAAGATGCTTCCCCAAAGAGAATATCTGAGCTCTTGGTAGTCAATAAGGTACTGACTTTTGAGGCTTTAAGAGAAAGGTAACAACGAATCCAAGGTCAGGAGGGCAGTATGTGGTGGGTCTGGACTGGAACCAGCCAGTTTCTTAAAGTTCTGTTTGTCCCTTCCCAACAACCGTAATGAGTTAATGCCCTTTGTCTTCCTATACTGTAGCACTTTCTACTTTACCAGGAAAATTCCTACCAGGTTTCGAAGACCAGCTCAGTTTTTGTCGCCATGAGGTCTGCCTGGCCCAAAACTTGGGCCTCTTTCCCCATGTCCTGCTGCTTCCAATAGGGATCCAAAGCTGAACTTGCCAGTGCCTACACAGCATATTCTTTAATGATGGGCGCAGAGGAGCGTGGGGGAAAGAGAAGGCAGGCCTTCAGTGAGGTGCACAGAGCAAGCCTGGTCTACAGGGAGGAGTAGCCGGCCTGTTTCACCTGATGCTGCAACTTGAGATACAACACCAAGAAGATAAGTCCTGCTTTGAAGTGGTGCTTTAAAAAAAAAAGTGTGTGTGTGTGTGTGTTGGTGGGTGGTAAATGAAAAAATTGCCACAGATAAGATGTCTAAGAGCCAGACGTGGTTTCTCTGCTTTGAACTTCTGCTCAGGGTCAGGCAGACATACTAAAAATGAACCAACCTCTTGGGGTAAGGGTCTGCCTCTAGTTCTGAGAGGTGTTTCTGGACAGGTCAAGAAAGAGCCACTTATTAAAGTCTCAAGCTTACATTCTTACCTCCAGTGTCCCTGAAACCTGGAAGGAAGAGAAAGAAGAAACATGACAGACCCCTGGCGCCCCCACCCCTCAGTGCTAACAAGACGTCTGGAGTTGGTACTTCAGAGAAAAGGAGGGAGAGTGGCATTGGAGATACATCTGGGTCTGCCACACTGGGGCAGTATAACCACACCCTGCCACGGTTCCACTAGCCACCTGGGCTTCCGCAGCCCCAGCCCCAAATCCCTGGAGAGAAGCCCTACTTGGTGATGAACAGACCAGGCAGATGGACAGGCTTGCAGAGGCCAAGCATGTATTTGGGACACTGTGTT